AAAGTTAATGGATACAAAAATATTGTAATTTACAGATTTTGGATACCATGCCCCTTCGCCCTGAAGTTGTAAAGTACTAGAGACTTGTGCTTTGGAATGTACACACATTTTAACTATATGATCATGCTCTGAAAGTTTCATTAGGATAGTCCGTTTACAAAAGAAATTAATTAACTAATAAATTGATGTAATATTGCTCACACAGCAGCGCAGCCCAAGCGCAGCCGCTGCTTACTGTGCAGTTAGCAGAGCGCATGCTTATAAGGAATGTATATGTATGTGTGCATAAAAGAAGTCCAGAATGATTAGAATATCAGCTTGGCGGGTTCAGGGTATCTCCTAGTCGAGCAATCTCGACTGGAGCCTTCTTACTTGTTTTTTTTTTAATATCCAAATATTCAGCTCTAATTGATTTGATGATTCAAATTTTAAAATTGAAGGATTTCCAGTTTTTTCTTAAGAAAAAATATAGTTTACTAAATGCACTTATGTTGATTTTGGTTAATAATAATTTAGTAATCATTACATAGTTATACCCTGAAACCCTAAAAACATGGTAACACCAAGGGAACAGGCAGAATCGTGGCTATAATAATAAGTCATCCCATTTAGCGATAGTAATCGATAAGTTGGCATTGTCTTTTAAGCGTATATAGAATACGGTAAGTTTTAGTATAATGTATTTATTTATAATTTAATTTATTTGTTTATATTAATTGTTTATATTACAATATATTTGATATATTTTTACTTATATTATTTTCTGAAAATTTCGAAATTGCATACAAAATTGGCTTACCGCATATAGTAATTAATTGTGCAAAATAATACTGATAATACCAAGCCATGACCGCTCCTGTATTTCCATAAGACTTTAAAAGATTGGGCAGACCTAGATCTTTTTCCAGTTAATTAAAGACTATCTAGGCAGCTTAAAGACTCCGACAACAACAGCCACAAAAATGGCCCAATGCCAGCTGATTGTGGCCCAGTCCAGATACGCGTTGCCCCAGCGCCAATACTTGTGCATATTTTGCTATGCATGTGTGTACAATTGCCGAAAATGTGGAGCAAGCACAGACACTGCGGCGTTATCATTGCACATTTCACTGTTTGGTGTAACAATTACAGCAATAGCAATAGCAACAGCAACAGCAACAGTAGTAACAACTATAAAAACAACAACAACATTTGGCATACATTCAAAATTGCCAGCAGCCAAAACAAGCATATTTCCGTAGCCTTGCCTCACACGTCTACCCCGCCCCGCCTGCTGTCATAAGTTTGTGGAAATGTTTTTGATAATACTGTGGAACAAGTCACATGCTCGCACTCGTGTTTACACACGTTCATACACACATATGTATGTATATGTTGCTCTGTGGCTTTTCTTTTCCTTTTTTGTAGGTTCCCACATAAAATATATAAAGGCTAAGGAAAATAAAAGTTTATGGGTAATTGCTTTGTTTTTGTGGAAGATGACAATTGCCTGTTGTAAGTAGGTCTCGTCAGTCATATCTTGACTAAGATCAAACCCAAATCGTATTACTTCTGCGCTTATTACTGAAAACTTGATTAGGTTATTGTTCAGATAATTTGTCTGATCTAATTTAGACCATCAAAGCAAAGTATCAAAGTATATGTATGCAAGCCTATCAAATTGAAGAAGTATTATCATTCCTTACTAGCTAAAGTTTAATTCAACTATTTATCTGAAACTCATATTTCAAAAGGGCAGTTAGATTTGATTTCCCCTAGATATGGTACATTTTTCAGGAGCCTGAAATACAAAAAAAATATGCAATCTATAAACCAGTCTAACAATATTCACCTCCACATTCAAAACTTTGATCTAAATAAACTAGACACTATAACTGCATAGGCCAGGCTGAGCCAGGTGTAAATTTAGAAAGAACCATTCGACTGTTCAGATATTTATGCTTATAACATGATGAAGAGCTCAGTACACATACAACAGCACTCTTAATAAATCTGTTGGAGCGCAATATTAAAGCGATAGCCATTTGTCGTGTTGCCGTAATTATCTAAATAGTTGCAGCCAGGGCAGGACAAGCATTTTAATTAATTAACCTTGGTTTGACATCAAAAACCTATTTAATGCAGAACGCCGACGCATGAGAAATGGGAAATGAGCAATGGCACGTCCTGAAATGAATATAAAACGCTAATTGCATATGAAAATAAATCTGACATGACAATGCGGTAATATAAATACAAATGCACTTCATTAACGACGCTCTAATAAATGTGCATTATCCACATACTCGCTGGCATTTAAATAAGCATTTCAAATGGACATGTACATTATTTTATGAAACCCACAAAAATGGGGTCAACTTCCACGAATCGAAGAGACATTGACTTAAATAACTTTCATATTGTGTTTAAATTTATGCAAGGGAAATTGATTCAATAGAATTAAAAATGGACAGAACTGATTTTTATCATATCAAAATATATAGTCATCCACTCCAGGTGTTCCTTATAGCTAATCTGTCTACTGACAGATTAAATAGCGATATTTTAACGGCACTAATCAATATATCCAGACAGACGTGGTAACGTGCACGTAACTCGTTGCAAATCCATAGTGCTTAATCTAAGACATTCAGATTCCATAGATGAAAAAAGTGTCAAGTCAACAGACTCTTACATGCAGCACGCATCAGCCAGCTCATATGACTGTCATTTGCCTGAAAAAAATATGGATAGTTGTAGTTGAGCACAAAAACATAGATGGACGTAGCAAAGTTTGGTTTTAGCTTTGAAACAGGGAGCAGGGGAGGAGTTCAGGATATCTGTAAGATGCAATTGTGTGCCAAGGCAAGTCAAATTTAATGTTGTCACACAGCAACTGCACAAACAGATACTCAAATAACTGACAGGACAATGCTGTTACTCAGTATTTCTTGTTGCTCGACCTAAGATGCAATAAAGAACAGAATGGAAAAGGTCTTAGAAAGTGCGCAGCATGTCCTAAGCTGACAGAGGTGACCTAAAAGCAAGTCAACAAATGTTAAATGGAAAATGAAAATAAGAATGATACAGATACAGATACAGATACAGATACAGATACAGATACAGATACAGATACAGATACAGATACAGATACAGATACAGATACAGATACAGATACAGATACAGATACAGATACAGATACAGATACAGATACAGATACAGATACAGATACAGATACAGATACAGATACAGATACAGATACAGATACAGATACAGATACAGATACAGATACAGATACAGATACAGATACAGATACAGATACAGATACAGATACAGATACAGATACAGATACAGATACAGATACAGATACAGATACAGATACAGATACAGATACAGATACAGATACAGATACAGATACAGATACAGATACAGATACAGATACAGATACAGATACAGATACAGATACAGATACAGATACAGATACAGATACAGATACAGATACAGATACAGATACAGATACAGATACAGATACAGATACAGATACAGATACAGATACAGATACAGATACAGATACAGATACAGATACAGATACAGATACAGATACAGATACAGATATAGATATAGATACAGATACAGATACAGATACAGATACAGATACAGATACAGATACAGATACAGATACAGATACAGATACAGATACAGATACAGATACAGATACAGATACAGATACAGATACAGATACAGATACAGATACAGATACAGATACAGATACAGATACAGATACAGATACAGATACAGATACAGATACAGATACAGATACAGATACAGATACAGATACAGATACAGATACAGATACAGATACAGATACAGATACAGATACAGATACAGATACAGATACAGATACAGATACAGATACAGATACAGATACAGATACAGATACAGATACAGATACAGATACAGATACAGATACAGATACAGATACAGATACAGATACAGATACAGATACAGATACAGATACAGATACAGATACAGATACAGATACAGATACAGATACAGATACAGATACAGATACAGATACAGATACAGATACAGATACAGATACAGGTACAGGTACAGATACAGATACAGATACAGATACAGATACAGATACAGATACAGATACAGATACAGATACAGATACAGATACAGATACAGATACAGATACAGATACAGATACAGATACAGATACAGATACAGATACAGATACAGATACAGATACAGATACAGATACAGATACAGATACAGATACAGATACAGATACAGATACAGATACAGATACAGATACAGATACAGATACAGATACAGATACAGATACAGATACAGATACAGATACAGATACAGATACAGATACAGATACAGATACAGATACAGATACAGATACAGATACAGATACAGATACAGATACAGATACAGATACAGATACAGATACAGATACAGATACAGATACAGATACAGATACAGATACAGATACAGATACAGATACAGATACAGATACAGATACAGATACAGATACAGATACAGATACAGATACAGATACAGATGCAGATGCAGATGCAGATACAGATACAGATACAGACTCAGCTCGTCCTGATCAAGAATATATATACTTTATGGGGTCTGCCACGCCTCCTTCTGCCTGCTACACACTTTTCACAAAACCATTATACCCTGATTTCCCATTTTCAATGGGTGTATTATATATGGGTTTATTATATATGATACAGATACAGATACAGATACAGATACAGATACAGACTCAGCTCGTCGTCCTGATCAAGAATATATATACTTTATGGGGTCTGCCACGCCTCCTTCTGCCTGCTACACACTTTTCACAAAACCATTATACCCTGATTTCCCATTTTCAATGGGTTTATTATATGACTTTATGCCGCACTGCAGCTCATGTATGCTTAGGCCTGCATGCGAATGTATGTGTGTAGCTTTAATGGCCCCAATAAATAAAACGACCAGCACAAAAATTCCATTTCCATCATAAATTTAATATTTTAATCAACCTTGTATTTCAAGAAGCAGCCTTAGCTTAGGTACTGATACAGTTGCTGGAACTTCAGTTGGTAGATCATGACTTGGAGTAGCTCCATCTTGAGCAAAGCAGTTGGACGCCAAGACAGCGAGCACAGCAGTGAACAGTATCTGTGAGTAAAAGAAACAAAATTGTTACTTGTCAGAAATAACACAAATTGGCATTCTTACCAGTTTCATGTTGATTGTAGCTTCCGTTCAAAAACGATGATAGAATTTGGGGGTTGACTCTATTTTATACCTATTTGATACGCTGCATCGAAGAAATCGTATAAGCGTATAACTGGTATATCGAATTCACGAAATAAATTTGCTTGACATCTTGTCAGACACGCCAGAAACGAAGAGTAATAGGTATATTGTTGTACTATAGTTGTATTGATACTTTCAGAACATGACACCAATATATTTACAACTACATAGATTTTTAATGTTTTGTTAAATGTGTATGTCATATAATTTAATTTTATTTTTATACCCTGAACCCATTTTCAATGGGAAATGTATGTAACAGACAGAATGAGGCGTGGCAGACCCCATAAAGTATATATATTCTTGATCAGGACGACGAGCTGAGTCGATTTGGCCCTGTCCGTCTGTCTGTCTATCCGTCTGTCCAGATGATATAAGAGCTAGAGACTTCAATTTTTTTAAATGCCCGTATATATAGCGCGCATATCGAGACTATCTCCAAAAATCGATAACTCATTCCGTTATTTTTTTTTCTCGGTTAAAAACCTTATCGAAAACAAGTTATTTAATTATATCTCCTATACCTTAAGAGTTAATGTCTCCAAATTTCAAATGCATTTTACTGAATTTTGATTTTTGTCAAGTGTACCACCACCCCTATATCCACCCCCTCATCATCAAATTTATCAAAGGCGTATTTTAAATAATAGACTTGTGCTTGGCAAATGCACGCATTTTAATGATACAATTACAATCTAAAAGTTTCATGAAGAAAGTCCATTCACAAGAAAAGTTATTAAACAATTCATTTCCCATAGTAAGCCCACACTGCAGACCATGCGTGTTTATGCGTGCGTGCCTATGTGTGTCTTTGAGTGTGTGTGTTTCTTGTGTAACCAGAAAGACCCGAAGAATCATTGACATATCAGTTCCTCGAAGGGTTCAGGGGATCTCGTAGTCGAACGGTCTCCACTAGAGCTTTCTTACTTGTTTTTAATGTTATTGAAGTCAGTTACAAATATTGCTAATATGGGATTGAGTCTGAACCCCTTGATAGAATATTTCGATGACATGATCAGTAGATCAATTCACTAAAATAAATTGGGTGGTACAAACATAAGTTATCAAACCAAAAGCAAAATAAAAACACGTGACAAGCAGCAGTGAACTGCGTCAAGCATTATTACCATGCGTGTGCGCTTATATTCAAACATGCAATCATTGTCTATGCATGTTCACACACATACACATATTAAATTGTGTTTGAATTTTCAGCCGCTACATCAGCTTTGGTAGATTGCGCTGCAACAGAAGACGAAAGTACGTAGTCTTAATTAGAGTTGACATATAATATGTATGGTTTTTCATTGAAAACTATAATAATAACTCATCCTATTTACTTATTATCAATAATAATTTATGATCTGACTTCGTCTTTGAAGCGTATTTAACGTTTGAGCTGAAAACTTCCAATTTAGTGTATAAATGCAGATTTTTTTAATACCCTAAGCCCATTGAAAATTTGAAATCAGGGTATATCATGATAGTTTTTTTAATGTATCTAATAGGCGGTAGGAGGTGTGTCAGACCCTATCAAGTACATATGTTCTTTATCAGGACGGCGAGCTGAGTCTGAGTCCGCCTGCTCGTCAGTCCGCTCGTCCGTCAATCCATTCATCCGTCTGTCTGCATGTTTGATCGCGTCGATCTTCAAAATCTCTATCCGTATGAAAGCAATTTTCAGCGCTATTGAAGATAGAGACTTGAAATTTGGAACACATAATTTATAAAGTGTTAAAATTTTCCCGATCCATCTATTAGGAGCATGGCTAATCGGAAAATGTATTTCCAATATGCCAGAAATCACATTAATTGAAAAGTTAGAAAGTTGAAATTTTGAAAGTAGAATTGTGTTGACCACCCAATCTACGACTTTGGAGGCGAGGCAATTCGGGTAAAACCGTATCTTCTACAGTTTTAATGCTAGAAGGCTCAAATTTTGCACATGAGCTAATGTTACGATATGTCCACGCCTACTAGGGGCATGACAAATCTGCTATATTTTAAACACTTGATGCTAGAGTCATGAAAATGGTATATATGCTCGGGTTGACCACCTAACACCAAAAGCTTTATATATATATATATATATATATATATAGGATATATCGACGCTCACACAATTTATATGGTTGATAATGCCCGATTACAAAAAAATAAAAAAAACATCTTTAGATGACTCTGAGCTAGAGTCTAAAAATTTTAAATATTTATATGTATTTTATAGAATTTCCTGTTTTATTATAATTCACCTCCAGCCTCAAATCTAGTTCAAATACTATAGACTTCTGTTCAGGTAAATATACTCATTTGAATGTTACTATCACGATCTGAAAGTTTTATGAAGATTGTCTATCTTAAAGAAAAGTAAGTGTGTGCGTGTGCCTGGGCTGTTTCTTGTTTATTATTAGATCTTGAATATCACGCCCCTTGGCCAAAGCTCTAGAACCTTGTGCTTTACCAAATAAACACATTATCACATTCTACGTCTATCAACGAGCATAGCATTTTTTTATTTTTTTATTTTAATATATGCAATAATGAAGCATAGAATGATTGGAATATCACTTGTTCAAAGGATTCCTAGTCGAGCAGTCTTGACGCGCTCAGCCAAATTGTAAGTCTATAATGTAATCGAAGCTGTTTGGGGTAGCGACTATAGTCGTCGTCTGGTTAACTATTGAGGGTATCATCGATTTGCTAAAGCTCATTTATTTCGACTTAGGCTCAATTAGGGACGCCCACATAACTGGAGACAACTGTTACTGTTCACAGGAGCATGCTAATTGAGAGATTTCTGTGCACGCTAATCAAGTGGGCGTGGGTTTGCTTGAGCTAGCAATTATCAATTGGTCGATGGTGCTATAAAAGCGCCTCAATCTGTTGGATGTACAGGCAGCAATAGAGGAGCTCCGATACAGAAATGGTGTGGAAATTAGGGAAGTGCTCAAAAGAACAAAAGAACGGAAAGACCAAATCACTGTACATGTTCTTTCGATATGTGGACATCTTTTATTTCTCCATTGGCATGAAGGCTTACGATCGAGCCCTTTCTAGTACAACGGCAAATACAACCGATTGGCGCAAAACAATTTTGCGCATTTACTTCATATTCCAGATGCTAAATCTGAACTTGACGCTGTTATCGGAATTGATCTATGTATTCCTGGCGTTCAGCACTGGCAACAATTTCCTGGAAGCCACTATGAACCTGTCTTTCATTGGATTTGTCGTCGTGGGCGATATAAAGATTCAGCACATCTGGGGCAAGCGGGGGCATATCACAAAAGTGGTCCAGCGCTTGCAGCTGCTGCATCCCGTAACAGCTGATCAACAGAAGGAATATAGGTTGAATGATTACCTGAGAGGCTATAGAAACGTTAGCATCTTCTACTTTGGCATGCATATGGTGCTCATCTGGACTTACAATCTCTATTGGGTCGTCTACTATTTGGTGTGCGACCTCTGGCTGGGCATACGACACTTTGAACGGACGTTGCCTTACTACTGCTGGACACCGTGGAATTGGAAAACCAATTGGAGCTACTATGTCATGTACGTCTCCCAAAATATTGCCGCCCAGACCTGCCTCTCAGGCCAGCTGGCGGCGGACATGCTCATGTGTGCCCTAGTCACGCTGCTGATCATGCACTTCAAGCAATTAAGCAGACAGATCGAGCAGCATGTGGCAGGCTTACAGTCTGCTGACCAGGATCTGAGCTTCCTCCAGAGGAGCATCGCTTACCATCAGCAGCTACTGTGTCTGAGTCAGGACATCAACCGGATCTTTGGCGTTTCACTCTTTTGCAACTTTGCCAGCTCCTCGTTCATCATCTGCTTTGTTATCTTTCAGATAACCATCGGGGGCAATATCGATAATCTGGTCATGCTGATGCTCTTTCTGTTCTGTGCCATGGTGCAGGTCTTCATGATCGGTAGCTACGCGCAGAGCTTGATCAATTCGGTAAGTAATTTGAGGAGCTATTGACCCAATATAATTTTGTTTCGATTGGCAGAGCGAGCTCATTGGCCAGGCCGTTTACAATCACAATTGGTACCTGTCCGATTTGCGCTATCGCAAGCTAATGCTACTGATCATGCAGCGTGCCCAGCGCCCCAGTTACCTAAGAGCTACCAACTTTTTGAACGTTTCGCTGGTTACCGTAACAGACGTAAGTTGATCCTGCCTAATACAATTTCTGTTATCCGCAATATCGTTTGCAGCTGCTACAGGTGTCGTACAAGTTCTTCGCCCTGCTGCGCACCATGTACTCCCAGTAGAAGAGATGTAGGTGTCATGACGTAACCGTGAGCTTTCTGTCATTGTCCGATAGTGTGTGCATGCATAGCAGGCAGCATGTGCAAGTGACAGAAAATGTGTTTACGGAAATGGTCCAGTCATGGAAGGGCAATCATTTACGCCAACTCTCCTACAGTTGCAGCTTCTAATTAGATTGAGCAGGCAGTGCGATGGCATCGCCACTGGCAAAGGTACAGCAATATCGATAAAAAAAAAATAAAAAAACAAAAAGAAACGAAAAGAGAAAAGTTAGAGAAAACTACGCCCTTTCGCCAACATGAGTAGTTAAAATCCAACACTGATTTTACTTTGACTCGGGTAAAGCGTCAATTCTTTACTGTAGTCGATTGATGCTTAAGGTTACATAAATATTACTTTTTTAAAATAAAAATGCTGCAACACAATTACATATTTATTTCATTTAAATATTGATTTTTTAATTTTAATTAATAATTTCAATTTTCATTTTTCTACATAGTTCTATCTCCCTACAGCCTAGAAAATTTACATAAAAAGTAAAGAAATATATATTCAAATAGTCAATTAATTTAATATAATATAATTTAAGAGATATATTTTTTGTAACTAAATAAATTTAAAAAATCTAAATAGTTTATTTTATTTTATTAGTAGTTGACATTGTTTAATAAAATTTATTTTATTTTATTTTTTATTTTGATAAAATTTATTTTATTTTATTTT